ACAACATCGCTCCAAAGAACTTTTTCCAAACGATTAATTTCCTTCTGTAAGACTTGTTTAGCTCTCTATTTTTAAGCACTCAAAGCAGAGTTTTTGTTCTACTGCAAAAGACATTAACAACAATAAGTGCGTACTACAGTCTACATTGTTTCTCATGATTGGTCGACTTAATAAACGAAACTGGACCAATTTCTGAAGAATCGTAAAACATCTAGTTTTCAAGCATCGACAGTGCAGTGCTACAGTGGAACCTTAATGGCTAGTACACTCGTCATTCGAATGCTCATTCGTAGCCCTCATTTGGTCTCGTGACGTGACACCCCCTCTAATTCTCCTCCGCAAGAGGACTAAACTACGGCTGCATAGGACACTAGATTACATGGTTTGCTTTTTAGTCCCTCTCGAATGAGGACTCTAAAATAAAACACTGTTTCCCTAAAACGAATAAATGGATTAAGAAAATATTTCCCGTAAGAGAATCGACTGTAAAAGGTACGTCTAAGCTACTGATGTGACGACAAGAATTTGCGGTAAGAAGAGTTATTGCACACACGGCAACATTCAGTTTTTGCAAGCAGTTAAGTTAACTTGGGGAGCAACAATATTACGACTCGTTGAATTCACGCAAGTAAGCTTTTCTCTCAGGTATATGTGGCTAAGAAAAATCTGCGTTCAGAGTCTAAAACGACGCAAAAGAATAGCTCCTCCGATTTGCCTCTTTCTCAAAGTTTAACAGGTTTACGAGCCTCCAATGAAATAGAGAGTCAATGAAAACAGCTGTTTTAAGATAGATACGTACGAATCTTCTCTATTATCGGTCCGCGGCACATAGGACAGAAGTCCATTCCACGTGCACAATCAGGACAGCAGCTCAAATGGCCGCAGGGCAAAAACACCATTCCCACTTCAGCGTCCATGCAGATCTTGCATGTGCGTTCTTCTTGCATTCGCTCCAGCTTCTCCTCAAGCGACTCTTCAGTATCCGATGATCCTGATGCAGGCGCACTAAGGGTTCTTCGCAGATTGTCCCTACGAGGAACTGGAGTAGTGGGAGACGTCACAGCACTCAAACAGTTCTTCTTTCGGAGATCTTCATCCTCTCGAGGACTGGGTTGTCTCTCGGGAATGTTGAGATGGGGACGAGGAGGCCGCTCTTCACCTTCTTGTGGCGTTAGCTGCGCACAGGATCCAAAGGTGGGTGCTCCTGCCAGCTGCCTCTCTAGGAGAGCGGAAACGAGCTCAGTAAACGTGCTGAAATTGGATCCTGTGGATCCAATTTTAGCAGCAACTGCCTCTTGTATGTCACGCTGAGTGAACCCCATCTCCCCTAGTTTCTCCATGTCAAGTTCCATGGCAGTGCTTCCCCTGGGAGAACAAGACCGTGGTTCCTGCGTTACTTCGTTGGGTGCTCTTGAACTTGATCCTCCAGTAAATCGAGTCTGACTCTCATTGGTCATGTAACTTTCATGCGATGACGTAGTGACTGTTTGATTATGCCACTGTGAATAACGCTGTTCCGTTGAAGGATTCCACCCATTGGCTGAGTTAGGCATGGTGCATGCTGGGTACTTCTCAGAGGTATTCCAAGTTCCCTGAAGGGGCGATGTGTTACCACTTCTAATCGGCGTATGTAGATCTTGTCCGCTCTGACTCTGTCCAGGGCGCCAACTCGGACGTTCATTTTGCACCGAAGGAACACGTTGTACAGCATGTTCGGCTGGAGTGCTTGGAGTAGGTGCCTGAGGACGCTCTCTTAAGTGCTCTAGTACTAAAGGACACTGCGTAGACCACTTCTGATGCTCCCCCCAAGGAGTGTCACTGGGTTCCCAGTTGTGCAGCATGATGCCGCATTTGAAGCACTTGACGGAATCGCCAGTACCCAAGTAATAGAACCCGGCAGCCGAAAGATCCCACGGACGAATATGGTGATTATGCGGCCAATCCACATATGTCGTCAGACGATGATGCTCATTAGACAAGTCAGATGGTGACGACACATGGCGAGCGTATTCCTGTCTTATCAAAGGCAGCTCTTCAGTCTGGAGGCTGGGGTCTTTGACTGGAAAAGCTGGATAATACCCTTGGGATTGCCTTCTTGAGCCAGGAACATTTCGACCCGGCGGAAACTGCTGCCAGTTACAGGGTGGTTGAGTGGGTCTTGCCTCGACAATATCGTTTTCAGATTTGCTCGGGTTCTTTTCACTTGGGTTTCCTTTATGGAACTTCACCGGACTTTCGTTCGTTACACTTTCTGAACGCTGATACCCAGTTTGATTTGGAAACGTTCCAGAATAGCTTGGTGGATAAGATATGACGGACTGTTTAAACTGGTTCGTGCCTGATCTTTGCTCTTCCGAAATGTACCGGTAAGGGTCTCTGGGAAAAGGATGTGAACCTGTGAAGTTCGTCTCCGTCGATGGTGGCACTCGGCCTGTCCGTTGAGGCCCTGGGTATACTTGTCTCAAATCTCTCTCAGTCCTAATCTGCGGGTGGAAGCCATGCTCTCCTTTTTGTATGTTAAGTTCGTCCTCTGGGTTAAGCTGGTAGACAGCCGGTCCCACAATGTGAATCTGATTGGCTCCCTGTCTCACCACAACATGCTGATTTCTTTCTGTAGCGGTTTGCTCGTGCTCTGGACAGCGTTGAAAATCAACAGGCATGGGATCTTTTCCGAGAAACTCTTGTGGTCTTCTTCTAAGATCATAATAATCCTGCGGGACACCGGTTCGAGTTTCCACAGGGTAATGCAGCTCCTGGGTATCAAACATACTCCCGTGTGTAACATACTGTGGCCTTTCGGGATATATCAACCTCTCACGATTCACTGGGGGATCTCTTTCGGTAAGATACACATGATCTCCATATCTTGCGTGCGTTACTGTTGGAAACGGTGGATGGACTGGTTCTCGAACACCTGTTGAAGCTTCTACAGGGTTACAAGTTACTACGTGACCGTTCAAATTTTCACCTTCTTTAATAAAAGGGCAGGAAGGCCGAAGTCGTTTGTGTTCCATCCACGGATCATCTCCTACGTTCCACTGCCGTAAATGCAAATTACACCTGAAACACGCAACTCGATCGTCTAAATTGACACTATAGAACCCGGCTGCGGCCAAATCGGTGGGTTTTACAGGGCTGCTGGATGGCCATCGTGTAAAGGTTTCTAATCTTTTTTTATAGCTGACCAAATTCGGTTGTTGATTAAGCATTTCAGATATGTTGGCATTGTTTATGTGCTGCGAATTCTCTTCGAACCCATTAAAGCTGTTGCCTCGATCACTAAATTCAGCAGAACTGTAAGACATTTGTGAATTCATGCTTTCCGCTTCCATTGACGGCAAGTCTTGAGTCTCTTGTCGCTTCTGCATATTTCTTTACTACAGAAACTCTCTATCCGAGCGGACAGTCTTTGTAGATCTCGATTACGGCACAGAGTAATGCACGAGGAAAATCGGTTCCCGTGGGTTGACTTCCCGTCTTGCCAATTGATATGACGATTGTAGAAAGTTGCTATTGTATTTCAAAGCTTTTTAAGAATGCATTGGAAACTTCCCATGAACTGTTTTGTGTCCAACTCGAAGCAAACGCCACCAAAAGATCCTCTGTTTTGTATTTACGCTAAAACCAAGCTGAGAGCACGGTGAAAGATGCTATTTTCGTCGACTTCCGCTCTTGTTCTAAGAAGTCTGCATGTTTTCAAAACATTTCTTTAGTACGCATGCTGGATGATCTACATAATCATATAATATTGCGGGCTCTAGAAATATTGAGGAGGCCTGGTTGCAAACACCTTACATAGAAGATGGCGTCCGAGGAAAAGAAATCTGGTGAAGAAAGGTTGGTTAAAACGACAGAGACTAAAGACACGAAGAAACACCGGGGAATTCCAGAGGCACTCTTTCTGGTGAGCATTTACCTCTTCATAATCATGCCCTCCATTTTTGATGATAATGCGAGTCGCACGTACCGGGAAATTCCCTCCATTAGCGCCCAGGGAATTTTCGTTTCTACCAGTCTCGAACAAACGAAAATAAACCAGTTCTTATTCCTGGAATGTAGGAAGATGTCGACGATTTCATGAGAAAGAGTGGAAATGAAACTGCAGAGTCTGTTCTTAAAGATTTAGATGAGCAACATCAGAAGTATAAATTTATGGAACTGAATTTGTTGGCGAGAAAAAAAAGGTACGAATACGTGACTTTTGTGAATCATTTTTCAATTCCTCGGTAAATTTAAGATTACCCTTTGGGTTAATCCCCAAGTTTTCCAACCTTTTTCATTTTTGGTTGGATTGATTCCTATCCTTCAGGGCCCAAGCAGTGCTGTAAACCCCTCATCCAAGGGCGTATTGAGAAATTTGATACGCCTCCACAATTTTGTCTTCTATTCCTGAAAAAGAAGGAAGCTGTATTTTTACCCTCCCAGCAACTAATGCTTCCATGTTTTTATTTTTGGCCACAAAAGTCATCATGCACTTAATTTCCAGTACTATGCACAACCACCAATATTAAAGGGTAACTGATGGCAAATTTTTCCCCCTTTTTTTTGTCCCAATACATGCCTTTTAGGTTAAAGAATCCTAAATGAGCAAATAAATGAAAACCAAATATTCTACAATTTTTTTTTATGCTTAATCCACGGCAATTTTGAAAATGTTTCGATCCAGGTTACTTGATGTGATACATCATACATGTGTAAGACAGAGAAAAGGGCCATGTTAAGACCTGAAAGTAACAACTTTGCTGCTACAGAGTGGGACAAAAAAGATTTGTTCCATTTTTGTACAGGCCACCATTTAGAGACTATGAAATACAAAGTGAGAAATGAAATACTTCCTATAAAAAGATTGAATTATGGAAATGCAATGAATTGCATATCTGTATTCAGAGCTACAGGTAGATTGAATGCCATACCAAACAGCAGTAAAATATAAATATATTTTTCCTATTCACCATTATCTAGTCTGTTACTTTTAGAAATTTTTTTTTAGTCCAGGTCAAAAAGTATTTAATTTAAGATTTTGTCTATTGTATATCACTTTCAAGTCCACTGTATATCTCTGTCAAGCCCATCGGTTCTGAAGTGAGTATGGCATAAGTGTTAAGTGTTGTTGTGTATTACAGGGGGTCCTTATCTGGTTTTGTGAACGAAATTCTTCTTCCATGTTCTGGAAATGTACAAGATTTATCCTTTCTTTATCTCTTTTAACCCTTTAACTTCCAAGATCTAATTGTTAATTCTCCCCTCTAGCTGCTTCACATTTCCTTGTAAATTAGATTGAGAACTTGGTGCTAGATCAAGATAGCAGCTTCTACCTGATAAATTCAAATATTCTCATTATCTGTTTGCTGAATAATGTATGGATGTTATGGGGAAAATGTTCATGTTATTCACTTCTGGAAGTTAAAGGGTAAACGGAGAATAGTGAGCAGCACAAAGGAAAAACTTCTTGCTGTTGTACCTTTTTGTTTACTTTTTCCGATTGGTAAAAAATGAACAGAGTCTGCAACACAGTTGTGCAACGCAAACAACAAGCTTGTAATGTTTCTCAAATTACGACCTGGACTTTAAAAAAAATATATATATATATATATATATATTTTTTTTACACTAAAGTCATCCTAAACTGTACCACTCTTAGCCCCATTGACATTTACAATATGAACAGAAAACAACAGGATTTCAAGCAAAGAAAACAAAAACCAGGGAAGGGCTGTGTACTGATGTTTTATGGCATAATAATTTACATGAAAAAAAAATTACTCAGTTCTGCTTGATTAAGATAAATGCAGTTTTCAGGTAATTCAATGCAGAAGAGGGTTAATTCAGTGCAAAGAAAGTAACAAACCAGACATTCTGGTTGGTCAATAATCAAAGAAACTCACAGATAGCCAATCAAATGCGAGCCTTGGATGTCGCAACATTTGGCTACGCTGAAAATTTGTGAGTGAAACAATCGCCAATGCTCAAATAGGTTTTCTTTTGCCTCTGCAACAGCAATACAGCTGCTGAAAAAAGCTCTAACAACGGAAACATTATAATAAGCACTGCTTTTTGGTTGTTGGTTTGGAAAAGTGGTCTTTAGAGAAGGGAATTGCCAAGGAAATCAAAATTGTGAGCCGATTCAGCTTAACACATCGCTCAAGCAATTCCATGCCAAAATTAAAAACAAAGATGGTTAAACCTCGCAAACAAAAATTCCATTCCATTGAAAGTGATTTGGACACAGGCTGAACAATTCCTTGAACTATTTAGCTGGACTTTGAACGTTTTTGCACCTTAAAGATGTGAAAATATCATTGTATATTACTGTTTTGATTGTACATGGTTGTTTTGACCAAATGCACAGGTTTGAATAAATTATTTTTGCACTTGATGTGCGTGCTTTGCTTCTGATATTTTTTCATGTATAAAATTTACTCATGCTTATTTATTCCAAATTGCACTCGAAATCATGTGATTACCTATACAAACAAATGCAGATGGATTTAGCCCTCACCAGTTTCCAGCTGATGAAAATGAGCAGCAAAAGTGGATTGTATTTGTGCAAACAAAAAGAGAACCTAATAGGTAGTTGAACACCAGGTTCGGGTCTGCACATTTACAGCGACCATTTCACAGGTGATAACTATGAAGGATTCTGTGCAGGAATAGCTGGATTTTAGTTCTAAGCTAGTATTAAAGAAGTCCTCAGTTCTTTCTACTGATGCGTCTCCTACTCAAGGATGCTGTACAATGCATCTGGGTTCTGCCTGCAGTTGTTCCTCCATAACAGCCCCCAAATTTTTATTTCTCACTTCATCTACTTCTTGACAACAAATTTTTTCTACCTCTCTCCACCTGCATCTTGTAATAAAAGAATCAGTATTATTATGATGTTGAAAAGAATAAATAAAGAACACAAGTTGTATGATTGGTTTCGCCAAAATGAACAGTTATTAGTTCTGTAACTGTCGCATATGTGAGAGATGACTCACACTTTAGGCTATTAACAAGATACAAAGACCACAAAAGGGGAAAACTAAGTTAACAATCAGTTAATATTAGGAGGATGTTCACTTTTATATGTATGAATGATTTTTTTGCTGCATTGTGTTCTACGGTAAAAGCTGAGAAATCTTTGCCAAATTCAATAAAAGAAAATTCAAAACCGTTACAAATGTGTCGAAACATGTATATTGTGGAAAACAACTCTTGAGAATGAATCCATCCAATGCACCTCCACAAACGTGTATGTTTGTTTTTCACAGTCTGTGAAAAATAAGCTTTGGAAGGTGTGTGCGTGTAGCACAAAAACACTTTGCTTCCATGGAATTCAAGAGTCTGCACATTTGGTTTTCTTTACTTGATTATTGCTATATTCAATAAGTGACTGATTTTCAGGTACCTTATTTACAAGGGTAATGCACTCACCATTCTTCTCTTTTCTCATTAAGACAGCTGCTATGTATGGACTCTTGATCCTCTTCTGACTCTTGTACTCTATTTTTGGTTCGTCTTGGTGTTTCAAAGCGCCAGGGCCTGATTTACCAAACAGGCTCATAAGCCCTATCATTATTTTCACCTTTCAACTTTCCTCACTTGAACTACTATCTGCCATATTTACTGTGCTAAGTTTACACACATGCGACGTATCAGGTCACATGATCAAATTTGAAGCATTTATGGCAGATGACTCATGAAGCTGCAATTACAACAGTTTTTTGAACCAAAAAAGCCACAAAGAGGCTTTCTAAGTACCTTGTGTCTGTTTCAGTGTGTTACCTGAGGCATTTAGACAGTATTCCAAAAATGTGACCTTTTAAGCTGTCAATTACCCTTTTTGAAAAGATGTCACAAATTGGGAATCAATAAATTTGTTCTAGTACTCACAACCCCACTCATATGCAGTCAAATTGTATAACCCTGGATGGTGATTTCTTTAATTGTTCAGTATTTAGAGGGTTTTTAGGGAGGAAGGTGAGAGATCCATGTGGGAATTTGTCTTCTATTAGTTGAAAGAAATTAAGATGGCTTGGCTGGTAGTTGGTTGTAGTTTGTTAAGTCATGCTGAGTGTTATTTTATCAAGATTATGAGGTGGAATTTTGATTTAAAGTTTGTCATATTATTACTACCAAGGGAAACCAAAAATTTGGTCATGTAAGTAGGGGTTCGAGTTTTCTGGATTGGTGTTGAATTTCAATTCTGTCAATAATTGATTAGCAATAATGATTTTACAATTCTTGCACAATCTACAATCATTTTCATACTATTTTCTTTGTTTTATAAGTGCTTTTGTATAAGAAAATTTAGTTTGGGAAGTTTAGTAAATGTATTACATTATCTTAAATGCTATCAATTGCAATTTAAAGTTGGGACATGTTAATCAGCTATGCTCTGACACTTTGGCATTTATTGAACACTGATTTTTTCAAAAAGTTTGAGTCATCAGCTAAGGGTAAATTTGAGTCAAGGAAAAGTAAAATTAGTTTGAGTTAACTGAGTTTGAGTTAGCTGATAGTAAATAACTGCAGAAATGGTCAAATCCAAGGGAAATCAGATCTTGTTAGCAGTTGGTTTGAGTTGACTGGGTTTAAGTTAGTGTGGCTCTGATGTATATGGCAAACAGCTGAGGGGAGTCTCACACTTAGAGAAAGGGCAGACTTGATTATAAGCTAGTATTTAGTAA